TTGTAACGGTTTCGAAATATATAAATTTACCAAACACTTATATTTAGCGGTTTAGGTAAAACCACTAACCGCTACCTCAAAACCGCTATATCAAACGGGACCTTAGTAGTGTGTGCCACTTGTAAAAAAAAACTTACAAATTTTCATAAAATTATTAAAAAAATCACAATTTCAATTAACTAAAATACCCAAACCCTAAGTAATTTACAAAATTACCACCACTTGTTGACTTTCTACGGAGTTAAAGGAACAAAGAAGAAAGACAAAAGAAGAAGAAATGTTAACCCTACCCTCCTTATACTACTTTAGATTCCATTAGTGCTCTTTTACTTGCAAAACATTACTCCACATTTTATTAATTTTTCTTATGACACTATCTTTTAACTTACCCTCTCACATTTTGTCACTACATTTATCACTTTAAACTATATATGCGCTTATTTTCTTTGTCTCTTTTAATAATTTGTTTGTTACTATTTTTTCTCTCCTTACACATTAATAATATGTTGGTTAAATCCTCAATTTGGTCCCTGAACTATTGTATGAACCCTTGATTTGGTCTCTACTATTTACTGATTTAGTCCCAAATTGATCATTTCATACAAAAAACAGTTGACGTGTCTATTACTTAACAGTGAAAAACAACTACTTCATAGCCATATATCACATTAATGATGAGACACATTAGCTATTTTTTATACAAAAAGGCTAACTTAGGGCAAATTGGTAAATAGTAGGAACCAAATCGAGGGTTCGTATAATAGTTCAGGAACCAAATTGGGGATCTGTATAATAGTCAATGACCAAATTGAGGATTTAACCTTATATGTTCTATAATTTGTAATTATTCATAGTTCTTAATAATTTAACAATCATTATTAGGAATGCACTTATCTAAAATTATTTACATCTTAATTGTTACTCCCTTAGTCCTAGAACAATGGAGTAAATTTATAAGAATCAATTTGCAAAGTGTTACTTTAAAATAATAGAATGTGTATTTACACAAAATATATTATATAATTAAAGTAGAAGTCAGACTATGAAAGTGTTTGGCAAAACTTAAAAAGCACTTATTGAAAGAAAAAATTCTTTTCACAAATTTAAAATTTTTAAAATTTACTTTTAAGTGGTTTTCAAACAAGTTTTGAAGGAGTTATACATCCAAATTTTTTTTAAATTTAATTATATTATTATTTCTCAATTTTGATTA